TATGAAAATTGTCAAATTTGTAAACTGGAATTACAATATGCACACAAACGACGCAAACCAATAATTCCATTTGTGCTCAGTGATACACGACCCTGGAAGACTTTTAGTTGGTTGGAATCGATAATTGACAATTGCCAACTCTTTAATATAGACGGTAAACCTGAATCAAACGATCAGTCGCAAGCAGAAGAATTCATTAATTATATGAATCGGCAACTTTCCATATCAAAATATCTAGAATCGCAACCAGTGAATCAACCAAGTTATCTATTTGAACTGATTAAATATGAGTATATACGCAATAGTCGTATTGAACGTTTCATGAATCCGTCTAAATCTTTTCCGATCGAACAAAGTTACATCAATCTGACGATAATAGAAACCGAAGAGCAACGAGAAAAGGAAAAGAAGCTTCGTAATACTGAGCATAGTAATGCCATCAACAGTACTTTTGAAGAGATTTACGGAACGAAGACTCCCATAGATGTCAAGGACATATTTGAAAAATGCAAGGATAAATCAAAACAAGTACTTGTATTTGGACGATCTGGAATCGGAAAATCAACATTTTGTCGATATGTCGCCTACCAATGGGCAACTGGTATGATTTGGCCGTAATACGAACTGATTGCTTTGATTCCGTTGTGTTCTCTGACAGAGCAGGACTACCCACCTAGTAGAAAATATTCTCCAATCGACGTTCTGAAAACAATGTATTTTTCTTTTGGTCTGTCCTTATCAGAAAAAGACGAAATGCTTTTGCAAGACCAGTTTCATAACAGTCGCATTCTTTGGCTTTTGGATGGGCACGATGAACTCGTACAAAATCTGCCTGCACATCTCAAAAGTTTATCGAATCAGTTACTGACGACTCCACATCATATCATAACATCTCGTCCATACATGGATACTTTATCACACCCTGTGCAATTGGAAATTATAGGCTTCACAGATGAAAATATTCCTAAGTACGTCAAGCAGTTCTTCGATCAAATCGAAAATGAAGCACAGAATTCGTCTCCTGAAGATGAAAAAATATTAAGCTTTCTCAAACGGAACCCTAGTGTTTGGGGTATTGCACACATTCCGATAAATCTAGAAATCATATGTAGTGTTTGGAGTAACACGGATTGGTCAGAAACCAAAACAATGACGATAACGGAACTGTATGATAAATTGACCGCATGGTTATGTCGCCGATATTTGGAAAAGCAACAAGAAATAAAAACTGACTTATTGCGCGACAAAGATGTTTATGAAAAATGCAAGAATGAATTGACATTCTTAGAAAGTCTGGCTTTTCTTGGGATGGAAAGTAACGCTATAATTTTGCGTCCAGCCTTACTAGAAAAAGCAAATAATGAGAGTAACTGTTCATTAACCAAGAACCGACACCTACTCAATATTGGATTACTACAATCAATTACGCATCATCATGGTACTGGAACACGAATCGAAGCAGAAAAAGATCATTACTTTGTACATCTTAGTTTCCAAGAATATTTTGCAGCACGGTACTTGGTTACTGCTTTCAATGGCAGTGAACCTCACAAAATGATCGAATTGATTCATCGTCATAAATACAATCAGCGCTTTAAATTGATGCTGAGCTTTGCATCTGGACTTCTCACAAACAGCTGCAACACGAAATGTATCAACACATTCTGGGACGCAATATTAGGAGAACCACTAGATATGGTTGGTATAAGACACATGGAAATTGTCACTTCTTGCATGGAAGAGACACATCATAACACAAACTTCAACCGATGGGATGAATTAATGAACTATGTAATTAAATGCATACAATACGCCGTGGACTCCGAGCATGAAGAGATATGCACCTACCTAAACGATGCTTTACGCAGAAGCCCCACCATCGTGAACGAAAACGAACTAATCCAAACCTTCACCACTCTTCTGCACATCAACAATGCATACAAAAAGGCGAATGTCATCTCATTGATAATTGGATTGCCAATTTTCAAGCTACAATCACAGCTTATACGGTTGCTGGTGACCGCACTAGGGGACGCCAATGATAATGTTAAACGGAATGCTTGTGAAGCTCTCGGCCAGTTAGATGAAAAGGCAGTAACGACTAAGGCGATCGTAGCGTTGGTGGCTGCACTTAGGGATGCGAACGATTATCTCAGAGCTGGGGCATGTAAAGCTCTCGGTCGAATCGGTGAACAAGCAGCAACGAATGAGGTGATCGCAGCGTTGATGAGCGCACTGAGAGATGTGAATGTTAGTGTTAGAGCAGAGGCATGTAAAGGTCTCGGCCAGTTAGGTGAAAAAGCAGCAATCAGTGAGGTGATCAATCGACTTCTGAGTGCACTTGGCGACGTGGATTTCCATGTCAGAAGTAGTGCATGTGGTGCTCTCGGTAAGATGGGTGAAAAAGCAGCAACGAATGACGTGATCGCAGCGTTGATGATCGCACTTAGGGATGCGAATGATAATGTTAGACGGAACGCATGTGAAGCTCTCGGCCAGTTAGGTGAAAAAGCAGCAACGAATGAGGTGATCGTGGCGTTGGTGACCGCACTGGGAGATGTGAATGGTAGTGTCAGAGCAGAGGCATGTAAATGTCTCGGTCATGTAGGTGAAAAAGCAACAACGAATGAAGTGATCGCAGCGTTGATGACCGCACTTAGGAATGCGAATGATAATGTTAGACGGAATGCATGTGACGCTCTCGGTCAGTTAGGTGAAAAAGCAGCAACAAATAGAGTTATTAATGGATTATTATGTATTGCTAATAAAAATAGTTATGAATCGCTGAGTAGAATTTTACTTTCGGCGTCCTCGTTGTCTAACTTAGATTCGAATATAGTTTCAAAATTATTTCAATTCTGCCATGATTCGTATTTGTGGCCTCGTGATATACCTTTGGAAAAAATTATGATGGCGTACTTGGATACGAAGCTTGTTGAATGGTGCCCTATTATTGGCTTGCATTCAATTCGTACTGGTTGTTCTGTTACTACTGTTGATCGGACGATTGTCGTATTTGGGAATTCTGAACCGGTTAAGTTTAACATGCCGAATAGCACGCTTTACGATGAATTGGTTCGTGCATTTGATAAACAGAAAGGTCTGCCTGTTACTTGTATGACAGACAGAATATCAGGGTATGATTAATGAAAGCGAGAAGAGATTGGCTGTATTACTTCGATGTTTAGAGATTAGAATTTGTGTAAAATATGGGATAAAAACTTTTTTCTGTTTCAGAAGAGGATCGACAGAATTACTAAAACATTGATAGGCCTAAAAAGGCCTCTGGATATAAAATAAACGAATCTATTTCTCGGAAACTCGTTATAAGTTTCACATCATTTATGAAGTGCTCGGAAGTCACTTGATCAGTGTTTTGGCCATTTCAGACCTTTTTTCTTCCTGTTGTGATTAACTTTGATATTTCTAGACCATCCCCTGAATATGTGATTCTGAGCTGAATTCTCTTAATAATTTTTTGACCTAAAAATACTCAGATTCTTTGCAAAAAAATCTTCAAATTTTCTGAATCGGCGTAGTTCTTTGCGAACTCGGATTATCAACGTCATTCTCTCTCCTACAAAATCAGTTTCCATGTTTCTCAATTGCTAAAAAGCGAAAAGTATTGACAATCATCTAAATCATTGATGAAAAATCATACACAACATTTATATTTCGAAAACGATCTTCTCATTTTCGGAACTTTGATGTAATTATATGGAGTGTAAGATTAAAAGTTTGAACTTGTTAGCTTCTCCTATACAAACTTTCTCTTTCATTCAAAATTTGCAACTGAATGTTCTAATTCTGAAATCTAATTATTTTGACTTTTGTTTGTGGAGGGTATAAGTAAATCTGATTTTTGTTCAAAGTGTGTAAATATGTTCAGCTCATTTTTGCTCAGCGATCATATCGCTGCGTTCTTCTCTGCGTATGGGACGATATGACACTTGGGATGATGACTATCTGACCAAATCATATAGAAATTGAGCAGCAAAGGTATTCTGCTAGTTTCACCATTCAACCCCACAAGGACCTCAGTTGTTTTTGTATTCTCCGTAAAATCTGTATCGAACACCGATTAAGAATAAACATCCATGACTGATTACAACCTTGCTTAAGGATCTCATCAGATGGTATTATTCAATTCATCATCATTTATGATGATGAAACTGCAATCAACCTCTAGAATATAGAAGATACAGTGTTAATATGTATGACTATATTAAGAACATGCCATCTGATAAGACCTTTAAGTGAAGTCGAAACCAGCTATGGATGCTTATTGTTATTGATGCACAAGGCAAAATATTCTTGATGCGAAATATACTTGTCTCAAATGTTTATTGATATTAAGAGATCCAATGCAATTAAGCACGTGGACATCGCCTGTGTCAATCGTGTATCGATACTCAGCAAGTCTAAATCTTATTAGAAAATAGTATTCATAGTTTTCATTCTTCTCTTTAGAACGATAGTCACACGTCCACAATGTCAAACAGAAACACAACACCATCAAGTAAGATCTCTTTTTTTCTTTCAATAGGGCACAATTTTTTGTTGTTTAGCTGACGATCAATCGAGACTTTCAAAATGACATGCAATCACCACCTATCAATTGTTCTTTTTGTTACTGGACTGGCGTCTCAAGTAACTATCAGGTAACATTTCTCTTGCTCATCTTATTCTTCAATACAATATTCTATCCTTTTTCTTCAAAGGAACATCTCACAGAATCTCATCCAAATCCAAAATGTGAATATTGTGGCAAACAATTCAACTCAGTCGACAACCTCAATGAACATAAACTCTCGCAATGTCAAGAGCTGATCGTCAGTTGTGTGTTGAAAGATTTCGGGTGTAATGAACAGGTATTTTTATTCATCATTTAAAAGAGATATATGAAAATCTGATTTTTGTTCTAGATTATCTGTGGGAAAAAAGACGAACATTATTTGACAAAACAACATCAAGAAGCTATACTAAAAGTTGTTCGTCAAATGAGATCACAGTTACCCGATGAACAAATGGATACTGATGTCACTCGAACAACAACTGCAGAAACTAATGATTCTGCATCGGTTGAATTGCAAAAGCTGTATGAAACGCTGCATATTTTGACAGGTGGTATTGAGACATTGAGCGATGATGGACAACATCTCAGTAATGAATCACTTCAGCTTCAAATTAAACTTCAGTCATTGATAGAAGATTTCTCACAACTTAAATTATCAATGGAAGAATCACATAGTTTTTTGGAAGGAGTGAAATACAATCAAGACGTTCTCAATCAAGATTTGGCATCATTGAAAGAAAAGATCAACGATATGCAATATGTTTCATATGATGGAACATTTATATGGAAGATTACAAACTTTCAAGAGAAAATGAGTAAGTTAAACAATTTGTCAGCCTGAATGGTAAAAGTGAAATGTTTTCCGACAAGCCATTCAGAAAATAAGAAGTAACTCAATTTGTATAATATGGACAAATAATAAGTCTATCTTTGAGTGTCACCGTCTATATAGTATATAATTACAAAATGATATAGTACATAGTGGATATATCGATGCATTGATTAAATGAATTATTGATGATGTCAATCTATTCAATTTTTTTAATACTTGTTTCTGCTTTTCTTTTACTTACTTGTTTTCCTTAATTTCTAGTTGATGCACAATCTGAACGACAAACATCCATCTATTCTCCACCCTTTTATTCATCACCTATTGGATATAAAATGCGGGCACGTTTGTATCTCAATGGGGATGGCAATGCTCGTCGTACACATATGTCACTTTTTTTTGTGTTGATGCGAGGTTTAAACGATCCCATTCTCAAATTCCCATTCAACTACAAAGTCACATTTTGTTTATATGACCAAACTCCAGCACAACGACATATCATTGATTCATTTCGACCAGACATTAGATCGAATAGTTTTCAACGACCAAGATCAGATATGAATATTGCAAGTGGTATACCAAAGTTTTTTCCATTGGCAATGATTGAACAAGAAGGCAATCCATATGTTAGAGATGACACCATGTTCATCAAAATTCTAGTTGATTTTGGTGATATGCCCAAAACACTGCTACCGTATGCATTAAGTCTCAATCCTGGAATACCAACACACATTCAGCATATAAGAATAAAGCAAGAGGCTGAAAGAAGAGCTCAGCAGCGATCCGAGACCCCTGTTAAATGATACAACGCCAGTCAATTATTTGAACAAAGATATAATCAAAAATAAAATCAAGGTGGACGAACTGATTTCTTTGATTTCTATTGATTTCTGTTGATTTGTTTGGGGTGGGTGGGTGTGGGTGTGGGTGTGTGGATGTGGGTGGGTGTGGGTGTGGATGTTCATTTTTCCTTCATTCATACCCACACCCACGCCTCACAGTCACCCCATATTTCTATTACAAAAAATCGAACAACATCGATTTCAACGAGATATAACATCAATCATTTTTTATTAAGAAATAAATAAACAAATTTGAAATACTTTAGTCCAATGGAATAATAAAATCAATTGTTAATAAAATGTTTATAGTTGATCCAAATGTTGAACGATGATTAGCATTTGAAGCTGAACAAGATCCAATGAATTTTGATTAAGAGCAACTATGGCCAACTAGACAAGATATTCAACAATCTGAACATCTATTTAAGAAACGTGTACCCAAAGGAACTTCTCAATATCAAACTGCATGGATTATTTCAGATGATGAAGATAATCAGTCTGTCAATCAAAAAAATGTTTAGTTTTTTTTTAATATTAAATCTTTGTCAATATATTAGGATTTTGATGAAGATCATCAAGAAATGATGACTGATTATGCTGATGATCTATAATCCATTAAACTTGATCAACAAGAGCATGAAGAGGACGAAGATGAAGAAGAGATGGATGAACTTTTTATGAATCGAAATAATTATGATGAAAAAACAGATTTAGAAGAAGATAAACAAACGTTTATTTTATATATCTGATTATATTTATTTTAATTAAAATATTTAATTTAGGTTAAAAAATTGAAAGCAGCTAAATTAGATGATTAATTTCCTGATGATATCGAGGTTTAAAAAGTTTTCGAACAACAAAATGGGATCCAAAAGAAAATTTATCATATGATTATGGAAGAATTTATCAATTCCCTAATTTTCGTACTATGATTAAACAAATTGAAAGTGAACAAGAATCCAATCGACATAAACAAGATCATGCTCAGGTTAAACTTTTTCTTTTTAAATATATGTATATATCTAGTTCTATCAATCAATTAATTCATCAAGAGATTTTATTGAAGAATTTTTTAAAAATTATTCTTCAAAAATGATTATGTGCATATCATATAGAAATATTCTTTTGTGCTTTTTCCTATTCTTCTAGAGTTGGTTTTATGTTTAAATTTATTTTGAATAGATTTTCATAAAAAAGAAACAAATATTTAATAATGTTGATAATGAATCTGTTTTGTCATCATTGACATTTATTAATCATCGAAGTTTTATCTGATTGTCAGATAAAGAGAGAAGAGATGCGGAGTGCTTGTTCTTTCCTTGACAATTCTTTATCGATTTTTCTCAGCAAAACTATGATCGTCTCTATTTACCAAAATCTAAAATCTAACATTATTTATTCCTAATTAAGTACGAATACTCGTAAAAGATAATCTATCCGATTATTTTCAATAAGATTTGTTGAAAGTAGTTGCGATCATCTTCTTCAACTAAATTTCGAACAAGTTTAGCAGATTGATAATATTGTCGAATTAATGACTAAAATCTAAATATTCCTACGATAAATAGATAATTGTAGATTTCTGAAAAAAATTGGTTTTATTCTTAAATGCAAATATGTTGAATAATGTTGTTGATCAGAATTGAAAAGAAAAAAGTGTTTTTGACAGTTACCTATCATCATTAGTCAACAAATAATACATTGTTTTTTCTAACTGAGTTCGTTTCTGATCAAAGAAAAAATTTTATGATTGATCAAATCGATAATTCAATTGATTTAAATCAAAATCTGAGCATCTTATACGACTTTTTTTTCAGTTCTTTTTTAAATGAATCTTTTTATTCAATTTCGAAGCAAAAGATAAGTTTTTGACTGAGCTTGGTAGTAAAAAAAGAAAGGTTAGAGAGTGATAACCTGAGGGTGTGGATGCGTGTGCATGTGAACGAGAAGAACAGCCACCCACACACCCACACCCTAAGACATCATCTGATTGACTAAATTTCTGCCTTCTGAAATCCTATTGATTGAGTGCGGACCCAAAAAACATCTGATTGGACTGTTCAGTAGAACTTTAGTCGGAAAAGGTCAATCTCTGCGACGAAGTCTGTTAGGCTCAACGAGATTTCCAGCTTGCGAAACGTCGAAAGAACAGTTTTTCTTCCTGTGCAAACGAACGTAACAACTCCTTTGAGTAGAGAAAACTTATTCGTTGGCGACCTATCTTATCAACGAAATGACAAAAATAATGCAATACCAAGGTGTGCTTCATCTATACGTTAGCAAAGAAAAGCAGACGAATTGACTGCACCATCGCTATCGCCGAGCTGAATAAGTTGATGTCTTTTTTGTGTAGTAGAATCAAACAAGCCACGATTTCGTGTCTTATTCCGTTTGAGCCTTAAGCATAATTGACCTCGCGAATAGTCGTCTTTTGATAGGTCATCCCTGGCCACGAAATCAACTCAATACTTGTATTTTTTTTAAATCATAGTCGTTTTAATAGCTTCTGTTTGTTACATGTCATGAAAGTTCTTTTTTCGTTTCTTCGAGACTACAGGAGTTCTGTACCTTTTCTTTTCTATATATTATTGAGCAAGTGTTTCTTTGCACGAATATTTTCGTCTTTTATGTCAACACAGATGTAATCATTGATGAATTCTAAATAGATGTAATGATACAGATCATGACCAAGAAATGCTTGCATAATAGTTGTGTATTTATTTGTAATATAATATACATGAATTGAGTGAAAAGTTCTCTACTATGATTCAATATGCTTCAAATAATATGTATGTTCAAAAAGGAAGTCATTTATAACATTAGAAGATGAAAGTTTTACATGGAAATCTACTTATCGCTTTAATAATTAAAAATACATAATACTAGTATGAAAAAAAAATGCAGCACCAAATAAACAAGCATAATACTACAAGAAAAATTATATTGATATTGAATTTTAATCGAAGTGATTTTTTCCCTTTTTGCTTGTTTTTCTACTTTTTTATACGACAACAAATTTATTAAAAAAAAATGAATCAATCAGATTTACTAGTTTCTTATCTGGCTTGATAACTAGTTCAATTGAAATATTTGATCAAGAACACTAAATTCAATCAGTATATAAAAACTAACAAGAAATCATTCGTCTTTAAAATAAAATGGGTTCTAAATTTGATATTGAATTTAATACTAATACCTATTTATGATCCACTAGTAGACATGAGAGGGATCGTCATTATGCTACTCATATCTATCTGTTAGTTACCAATGCTATATCTACCAAATAGTCTGCTGAATGAAATTAATATCAAGACCAATTCACTAGATGTCTGATGCATATATCAAATATACAAAAACGAAAACAATTAGAACGTTAAAAATTTGCCCCATTATTGTCTCATCGAAAAAATAAAACATAGATGGGGATATTTTCAATCTTCTGTGGAACTCGCGTAAATTTAAATCAAGGTTTCTATAACTCTTCCTCTCCATCACAGACCTTAGTAACCAGGAGTAAAACAGCTGAACGACATTGATAACAAGATTAAGAAGTCCTAGAACATTCCAGAACCTTCACTGATATGTCAATAGCTGGAATGCGTTTTTTCATATTCTACATAACGTCGTTAGTGATTTTTGACAACTGTCATATAAACAAGACAAATGCATGAAATGATTAAGTTCAAACTCTCGAGAATAATCACCATTGATCTTTCTGAGTTCATCAATATACATAAGCAATGGTTAGACTAATAGTAATACATTGAGAAAATGAAATACAAAAGAAATTCTGTTGGAAATGTAAGGAAAAAAAGCAGTATTTGCTGACGGTCGATTCCCGTTGGAGAACTAGAACATGAAATAGAATTTTATAATAATTATTTATCTATATTATACTTAGTGATGAAGCAACATTTCTAACTGTACTAGCAACTGAACAATTTTTCAATAGTTTATGTGAAGACTTAGATGATGCATCAAAAGCAATGGCGAAAATCAGAAAATTTTAATTTTTTTTTACTAACAATACAACATTTCGTCATTGAACATTTTTTCTTTCAAACTATCGATTTTTTCCTCTTACTTTAAATTAAACGCCTCCGAAGAAGCAGCAAAAATTGCAGCATTCAGCACAAGGCCGAATGTGCGGGATATTGGGTTTCAGTTTTCAACTAGCAATAACCTCTCCTCGCGAAACGCTCATTGGATAAGGTACTGCCACTGCGCAAAGATAACAAATTTGTGACTATGTCCAGCTTTATAAACATAACTTTATGCAAAACAAAATCGGTGAATGTATAGCAGACAAAGTAATGAATCGTACATTGCGAAAGAACGAGCAAGCTAGAAAGATAGATGACATGTTCTTTTTTCCTTAAACCACCAGTCAAATACTTTTGAAAAAAAAATAGCAGATATCATATCAAAATTATTTTTAACTCAACTTATTCGAATTTAATACGTTGATGCCGGTTTACACTGAGTTAATAGGTTTTATAGATATGTTTATTTTTTCTTCGTGCTTAATTTGTCAATGCTCAACTTTTCTTATCATTAAAATTTTGCGCTTATCATTTCTCACATTTATCGATGTACAATCCGGGTGTGGATAAACTTCATGTCATCCACATTTACACTCACATCCAGCACATGGCTATTAGTTCTAATTTGTTGTAGTCGAAATGTAGAAAGGATTTTTCGAAACCAAAAACAAACAAAAAGTGATGAATAAGAAATATTTGCGAAAGTGCAATGGATGATTCATTGCTCTATCGATGAGTCATACTTTGACACTAGAAGGAGAGAATAATCATTGAAGAATCAATCACTCAATTTTTGTCCGCTGTGATTGATGCACGTTGTGCGTGTGACATGAGTTTCTTGTGTAAATATTTTTTTGTTAGGAAAAGGTATACAATATATACATATGTGTCTCGTCATTATTTTTTTATTTTTCAGTACATACATCTCATAAGAGACTCATTTTGATTGATAACGAAACTATCATTTATTTATTTTTGTATTCAAGTTCAATTATATAAGTTGGTTTCAAAGTGTTAGTTTGTTTCTATCATAGGCTTGAGCTATTTTTCTCTCATTATCCTAACGTTGCAAATTCTAACAAATACACTATTATCCATCCAACTACATTTGTCACAGTATGATTTATTTTAGCATTTTAGTAAAATTCGATTATGTCATTAGAAAGCAAAGATAATTTGGAAGTTACAAACAATCAATTAAAACAATGTCGAATATGTTTGGATAATGATAATCCTAATGATATAATTAGTCCATGTTTATGTAGTGGTAGTTCGGCTTATGTTCATCGAAAATGTTTAAATGATTGGCGATCAGAAAATGCAGGTGGAAAAAGTTTCAAGTTCTGTGATATATATCAATTCGAATACGGCATCGAAACTATTCTAACTGATCCGAAGACTGAAAGAGAAAGACTATTGAAGTATCATTTCTATGTTGCTCATGATTCAACAGTAATTATTTTATTGGTTCAATTAATTATTCTTGGCGTAGCATTTTTATTGAAAGCTATTGATAAGAAAGATGATAATATCAAAAACTTATTTTCACAATCAATTGATAGATTTACGGTTTATTACTTGAGCGCTTTTATATTATTATTAGCTATTGTAGGTTTTATTGCTGTAATTATCTTTTTTTGTGCTACTACAAGTAGTACGAATAGTCGTAGTAATGGTAGTAGGAATTCTTCTCAAAATAGCAGTATCAACATAAATGGATTGTTTACAGGTGCGGTAGCTATTGTATTAATATGTGCTGTTATTGGTTTGTTCGTTGGAATAATCGTAAGTGTAATCATCCTAAGAAAAATAATGAAACATCACACCAGTAAATTATGGTTACGACAAGAAGCAGAAAAATATATTATTAAAGATTTTCAAGGTCAAAGAAAAGAATTGGAAAAATATAAAAATCCCTCTAATGCAATAACAGCTAACACTACTCATGGTATGGCTGGAAAGTAAACATATTGTCATTAGCGTTTATTGCTTTATTATCTTTAATGAAATCCAATTAATACAATAGATGGAAACTTTTCAACTCACACAATGATAAAACAATTATTTTTATTCATGTAACACGAAACTCTAAAAATGTGTTTATATATTTTTGTACTTGTAGCTTATATTTCTTTTTTGCAAGTGACTACTTTTTTGACTGATAGTAACGTAATATAGTATATGACTCATCAGAAATAGATGTTCCAGTGTTTTCTGATTGAAACATCTTTCTGCCATAAATGATCGTCCAGGATTTATTCTTCGAAAAATGTAAAAACAAAACAGTTTTTTGAGTCATTGTCTATTTTCATTCTGATTTATTAGACATTTAGAACATTATTCATATCTTATGAATCATATTTTACAATCTCACCACATGCTACCATGTTGTTAAAGATTGGAAACTTTTATTTCATTCAGTAACTAAAACATTCTTTATCAATAAAAAAAATGACGCTTTCAAATCATATATGTTCTTAAAATAATAATATGAAATAAAAGTGTATGATTTATGCCATAATACTTGCGTCGCTAGATTCAACGAGAGGTGGACAAAACTCCGGACTAAATATTACAATTGAATAGCACAAACGTCTACCAGGACATCGATTATCAATAACACAAGTTGAATTTGGTTTGGCACATGTATTATTCGAATCACAAGGCGTTCCATATTCACAACTCATTTGTTGTGTACAAATATTTTCTCCTGTTACTGTTGTTGCACATTGACAAAGACTTGTATTTGAACAAGTACCATTATCCGATGTAGGATCACATGTACTTTGATATGGTGTAGGACCATCAAGATCTGCCATCACCCATACTATAATTTATAGTAAGTTACTAGTTAATTTAATTAATTCTTTAAGAAAACATACCTGTGTATGAGAGTACACTATAAGAAAAATATGAGAATATATTAGATATATCGATTCTACGATAAAAAATTACTTACAATGCGAATACAATAAAGTAGTGTTTCATGATTCACGACTTACACAATGAAATCAACTGTCGATATCTACAAATTGAAATAGATTTTGAATAAATCAATTTATTGTTAAATGTTCTTTTTATATCAAAAATCTATAACCAACTTATATATGATTGTGTTTTAGCTGTGTTTCTACTAAAATAATTATAAAAATGCACTATTTCAAAGTTCACATATTTGTGATTGAATATGCTTTGACGATGTTAGAAAACCAAGTAAAATAAAACACTCAATTAAGAGAATCTCAAGTAGCAAACAATATGTACTTTTTTTTCGCACTCGGATAATGGTAAAACAAAAAAGAAAGAAAAGAAAAACTGAGCACTCAACTACTAGATTTTCAAGTAGTAAATGAAATGTCTGTTCTTTTTTTCGTTGTTAGATGATGGATAGATTTCTTCAGATGTTGTTCTACGTACATCGAAAAAACAGTTGACAAAGAAAAGTATGTTTTTACTTAACTGAAAATATTTTGAAAGCATTTTGAACAATGAAGAACAAGAAAAAAGACGTGATAATTCAATAAAAAGAAAAACAATGCAGATGTATATGATTCGAAAAGAAGATTCGATCAGAATCAATCGTTTTTTGTTATTGAATAAACACTAATGAAAACCTTATGAAAAGAATTAAACTATATTCTTTCTTCCATCAGTACTTCTGTTTTACCAAGTTTTTCATTTTTTCGTACCAAGGTATGGTGCGCTTTTTCTTTGTCAACCACATATGTACACTCTAAGGACGAATTGAATAAAACGCTTGACTGAATTTCTTTTGTCTTTCGTATCTTCACTGCATATTTGTATATATATATCGTTAACAAAACTATCGATCACAATTATATTTCAACTATGCCATCATTCAGTGCATGTTTACCAAATGATAAATTACGTGAGGCTTCCTTTGAACATAGATTCATTAAATTGATATCTACTGGTGAAATTACACGGCAACAATTTAATACATGGCTGGCTCAAGATTATCTCTTCGTGATTTTTTATATTCGTTTTGGTGCTCATGTACTTGTACATGCTCCTCGACAAGATTATAAATTTTTAATTAAAGGACTTTCAACAATAGAAGAAGAATTAACTTGGTTTGAAAAAAAATTAAAAGAAAAAAACATACTCATCAATGATATTCAACCATTATTTGCTAATCGTAATTATCAACATTGGTTAGATGAATTGATGCACACTAAGAAATCGTATTTGGGTTTGATTACAGCATTTTATGCTATGGAACTTTGCTATTATGAAGCATGGAAATCGGTAAAAAATCATGATTATCAAGAATTTGTTAATCGATGGGGATCAGAAGAATTCGGACAATTTATTGAACAACTTCGAGTAATTGTTGATGCTGCATCAATAACTGCTTCTGATAATGATAAACAAGAAGCATGTCAGCTTTGGGATGACGTCATGCGATTGGAAGTCGATTTTTGGGATATGGCTATTAATGAGAAATCAGAATAATAAAGTATTTTTATAATATTGTCACTTTTCTTCTTGAAATAACAATAAAAAAAAATACAAAATTATTATTTATAAGTTTTCATGTTTAGATCATATTTAATATTAAATATACGATTCAAACTTCTATTGTCAATGTTTTTATTTTATTGCAAACTTCCGCATGTCATGTTTTAATAGCATTTTCAGACTTAAAACAAACACCAATATGAGATATGAAGATTAAAATGAACATATTTCTGTTTTTTTTCTGTCATATTTGATTCTAAGTTTCATTTCTCAGAGTCGTATTCAAATATATCCCTTTCATCACTTGAGGAAATTTGATTATTATACCAACAACGTCTTTTCTTATAGTTTCAATCATGACTTTGAAAAATTAATTCCAATATTTTCACACAAAATCTAAAATCCTCATTACTTGACTTATTCAATGAACTATTGTTACTTTTCGATCTTCTCTCTTGAATTTCGTCTCTAGTGGTATCACAAATGATATGTATGTACATTCAGTAAAAAAGAATCTAACTCTAATATTCAGGTCCAGACTCGATCATTGAAACGAAAACTGGTTCTCTAGATCTCAATACAGCAATAGTTGATATGTTTATTACTGAATCATGCATCGACTAGTAACCGTTTGGTTACGAGTAAAATGGAAAAATCAGTTTGATAATTTGATCTGTATAGGTCTCATTTATATTCTTGTTCCTAGTTTATATTACAACTAATACGAAAAATTCTTTGAATTTTCTCTTAAAGAGAAATTAGCTAAGGTCATATTTTACATCTACCTATAAAACATGACAAGTTGAAAAGACTATTACCATCAAACATGTTTCTTAAATTCACATTGAATTGTGTTTAATATTGACAAGATCATGGTTTCAATACATTAAGTAGTTTCGCAAGCATCTGAACGATCAGTATCATTACAACGTATTGAACGGCTTCCTATAGATATGTCTGTTGGTAAAATAAAAGATAATATGTTATGACATGAGCGATTCTTGTATAAAGAACGTCTTCATGCTCTGATCGCTAAATAAATGCATGAATAAAATAAATCAATGATATTTTTGTAAATCTATTAACACCATTAACATCAAAAAGGGTGTGGGTGGAAGATAATATTCATACTCGCACCCAAATTAAGTAGAAGCCATGACAATATCGTTAGAAGAATACAACATCAACCATCATCATTTAAATCCGTCTCTAATTTTAACACGGAAAAAAATAGAACTTTAATTTTAATCCAAATACTCCGATATCTTTCACATATGTGGATATCTGCTGCTACAACCAGATTTTTTTCGACCGTCTTTCTCGACCGATCAGATTTTGAAGGTGGAAGGATGGTGAAGACGAAATGCTCACTCAGTAGACGAGCTACAGATTTATATATATGTATAGAATCTGCCTAACTTCATTGATTTTACTCGATGTCTTTTCACAATTGTTTGAGTGTCAAAACTTCCTCTCATAAAATAACTAATGTGACGAATATCGTCTATGATTAATTGATATTCCGTTCGAAAAAGATGTACCGATTTCCATCTCGTATTAATTGACGGTAGCTAGCTTTAAGTTTATTGCCTATCCTAAAAGTGGGATTGATAAGCCCGTAGTAGAGCCATGCAACTTGGGGGGGGGGGGGGGGGGGGGGTGTTGATGTTTTGCTCTTCTCGTGATGAACACCCACACCCCACACCCTATATTGTGCGCGAGGCCGATTAATAGTAATTCAGGCAATACACTAAGACCAAAAAAAGAACAAAACCAATCCGAACTAAGATCGTTGACTCCGACCATACCTTGATAACAAAAAACACATAGAAAATCAATAAGCAAAGAGAAATAATAGAAGTGTTTTTTTCAATCTAGTAAAAATCTAAAAAGAAAAAAGATTTACCAATTATGTGTTATTTTATAGTCGACTTTTTTTGTTTCCGCATTATCATGACAGAAATCAATAAGTTGTCTAGAAATTTATACAATTTTCATTCATTTTCTCTCATAAAATAGTATCATTACGGAATTTAATCATATGAAAAGGGAGAGAAAGAAACCTACCTTCAAAATTAGACATTGCAAGTATGATGATTATGTATGGACAACCTTTACATGCACACACCCACACCCACACCCATAGAGAGATGTGTAAACATTAAATTCATTTTGAGAATATTAAACTAGTCATGTTGAACCTGTAGCTAGCGTTGAATAGCATATCATGACTGAGTTGTCATCGGAATTTTCGTCGTACATCTCGATGTATTTATTCTTTCTTGAACTATTAGAAACAGACATTAATATCAAATATTCCAAGCGATGCATCGAAAGATGAATACAGAGAACGAGATGTTGAGAGTGAAAACAATCTTGTTTTATATCTCTTGAGATTGATATTAACATCGTAGATCGACGAACATACATATAGAAGAATAAAGGCATAGTAAGAGTTGTGACTGAACAGCATTAATAAATTAAAAAGAAATATCAAATGTTCTGAAACATAGTTTTATTAAAAATGAAGACCAATCAATACTTTTGTGTGAGTATGTCTTCATCAGCTTTTTCAACTAAACGCAAAATTTGAAAAAATTCAAAAATAATGGTGATGAAAATACAAATACTTTTTTGCGAAAAAGAGATTTTGCCATCGTTTCAACAAAAACATCACTTTTTTTATTTTGCATTGAGTGATCAACTCTTTTCTTCCATTGGATTCTATTCTGAGCATTTGCCAGCAGGATTGAATACGAGAACAGAACATAAACAATCCAACAGACCAAATCGATGGAACTAAGGATAGGAAAGAACAGTAGTCACACACTTATCCTTAGTAAACATTTTTTTCACTCTAAAAGTCTCTCTTTTCTTATACTTGATCTGGAACAAACACTTCGTCAATGTTCATTATGAGAGCATTTCCATCTTTTAATATTTATTTGAAAAATCACTGACAATCATCAGTATGTCCTTCCTATGACAACCATGCTAAGGGTTACGAGTTTATCGATGAAACTGTAGAATGTTGCCATTTTCATAGGATAGAAAATAAAACTTAGATATTGTTGCAGAACAACTGGATGTGAGTGTTTCTTCGATATATCTTTTCATTCCAGGCGGTCGTAGTCAAAAATTAATATTCGTTATATATGCTTATATGTGTTCGTATGAATTTGGACATGTCATTATGTAAATTAGTGTGTTTGATTGATGAATAATAAGACTGACTTATCAGTATTGCGCTATATTTCAACAAATCAAAAAAATAAATTAGCAAATTTTTTTTTTCAGATACAAGTAAAATATCCATAAAATGTATAAAAAAAACTATTGAATATTTTATTTACATTTTAATTTAAGGAGAATACGAATTTTTTTTTATACATTTTGTAAAATAATTTTCGTTTTATATTCGAAATGGGTATTTTTTCTTACACAACCAGTGTCTTTTTATAATGACAACATGCGAAAGTATTCGATACGTGTTCTTTGTTATTGACATATGTGAGTCAGACAATATGGTCTTTTAAACCGAGAATGTTCTTTTTCCTTTATTCTTGTTACAACATACTGTAGTAATCTGCTTATGATTCATCATGTTCTCTTTTCTCTAGTATTGACTCACGTCTAAAATAGCTATATAAGTAAGTAATAAAAAAACAAAGCATACACAAACACATATTTACAACATTTGATAATGCTTCGAATCAAACAAGATTCAACAACATCAGTTCTTACACAAGAACAAGGTTATGTACCGTTAAAACGAGTCAATGTGGAAGCAACAATTCGTTCATTTGCTGCCGATGTAACTATAACACAAGTATTTCGTAATGATGAAAAACAATCAATCGAAGCTGTCTATTGTTTTCCAATTGAAGAACAAGCAGCTATTTATTCTTTTATAGCTCGTATTGATGATCGTGAAATAGTCGCTCAATTAAAAGAAAAAAAAGAAGCACAACAAGAATATAATAATGCTTTACAACAAGGACATGGAGCTTATTTATTAGAACAAGATGAAAATTCTCAAGATAATTTTATTATTAATGTTGGTGCTTTACCTCCATCAAAAGAATGTACAATTACTATTGCTTATGTTACTGAATTAGATTTTATACAAGGATCAATAATTCGATTTGTAGTTCCAACAACTATTGCACCTCGTTATAATCCTAGTAAAGGTACTGTTGCATCACCTGCAGGTACAAATTCAAAATATGTTCAATCAACTCCTTATACAATTGAATTTCGTTGTCGTATTGATAAGATGGGTAGATCTGAACAAGAATATATTGCACGTATCAATTCACCATCTCATCCAATTCAAATTGATTTTGCACAACAAGATGCTTATATAATTACGTTTGCTCAACAAAATACTCATTTAGATCGAGATATTCTAATTAATATTGAATTGACTGATAAACGAGTTAATACAATTGTTGCTGTTGAATCAAGTGCTATTATGGCTGCATTTACACCAACAGAAGAAGATTGTCGTCAAGGATTAAATAATGCTCAAATAAATGAATTTATTTTTGTTGTTGATTGCAGTGGATCAATGCAAGATGAAAATAAAATTGGATTAGCTCGTCAAGCTATGTTAGTTTTTCTCAAAAGTTTACCTGTTAATTGTTATTTTAATATTATTCGTTTTGGAACACAATATAAAAGTCTTTTTACAGAAATAACTGCTATTTATAATGAAGAAAATGCACAAAAAGCTGAACAACTCATTACTGGAATGAAAGCAGATTTAGGTGGTACGGAACTAGTAAGTATTTTTATCATGGATTTATTTATTTATTTTTTTTTTTGTGTTTACTAATTTATTTTTGAAAAATTTATAGACGAGTCCTCTTCAATGGATTGAACAACATTCACCAAATCAAGGTCGTGCTCGTCAAATATTTCTTTTAACTGATGGTGAAATATCAAATGTTACGGAAGTTCTCGATTTATGTCGTTCAATGGCTTTGTCTACACGAATATTTTCTTTTGGTTTGGGAAAATCACCTAGTCGATCTTTAGTTAAAGGTCTTGCTCGATCAACCAATGGTCGATTTGTTTTTGTTCCACCTAATTCAAGTGTCGATGTATATGTTGGAGAACAATTACAGAGAGCTCTTCAACCATGTATTACTAATATTCATGTCAATTGGAATCTTGGTGTTAATGTTCAAACTGCTCCAAAACAATTACCTCCCGTTTATTTCAATGATCGTCTTATTGTTTATGCTCTTACAAATGATAAAACAATTCCATTTGATCACAATTCTTCTGTAGAACTTCAAACTGAACCTGATCATTGTTCAATAGGTATAGCAAAAGTTAATCAAATCCCGAGCGTGACTGATAATGAAACAATTGCACGTCTAGCAGCTAAAGCACTTATTCTTGAATTACAGCATGCTAAGCTTCCGTCATCAACTGCCAAAAAAGTGAAAACAGGTTCGACACAAACACGATTTCAAAATTTGGTAGCATCAGATGAAGAAAAAATGGAAGTGGTTTCCGATGAACAGACAACCAAGCAACGTATCATTGAATTATCATTGAAATACAATATCTTAAGTCCACATACGGCATTTATCGGTATAGAGAAGCGGACAAATGCAAGTAATACTGACATGGTACTACGTGAAGTACCAATTGAAATTTCTGCTGATGATCAACATTTATTTTCACCACCAAGAATGCAGTTATTGAGTGGTGGTGGTGGTGCAATTCGTCATCGTGCCGGCTATGGACGTGGTGGTGGTGGTGGTTTTCGGGGCAGAGGAGCTATGAACATGGCAGTCAGCAGCCAGAGAGCGTCGAACACGAAATGTTTAAATGTAACCACTTCGAGTGCTTATGAAACGATGGAATTTGATCAAAATTTACTCGTTAACCGACAGAAAAGTGCTCGTTCATCATTATCAAGGCGACCTATGCAAATAGATGCTGAAGATTATACACGCGAATCGAGAACCATCCGTCAAAACACTGATGTATGGCCTTCAACTGATCAAGATATTGTTCGTTATTTGATTAACAAACAAAAGTTTAATGGTCTATGGAATTTAGACGATGATATTATTAAGAACTTAACAGGAAAGTCTCTTGCAGTTTTTCAATCAATAAATCCAAATGTTGACAATCAAATATTAATTTCAGCCATTATTATCATTATACTTGAGACCCGATTTGCTAGCTTTTCATCATTATGGCACGGTGTAGTTCAAAAAGCCCGTCAACAACTCATTGATTCGGTTAAAAAAGATTCAAAAAATTTTGATACATTACTTAACGATATTCGTCAGCAACTTTGAATGACTTTTAGTTGTTTAGAAAATAAGTAAAGAGTCTTATATATTCGTGTTATTAATTTTATAATTCTGTTTTTGTCTCTATCATCAGAAGGATTTCAATGTTAACTAAAATACTATCTATTGTTTAAAATTATTTTAATTTTTTACGGAACTAAAATATTTGATTTATGAAAAAAATGATATTTTACATGAAAGATACACATTCAGAAGAAAAAGAACAATTTGAATAGAAACCAAGGTGAAATCACAAGACAAAGAGTAGTTTGATATTATTTGTACTGATTGTATTTAAAAGTTCTATTTGCTAAAATTTTCGTTGTTGCAGCAACTTATAGAAATAAAAGCGATTTATACTTTTGAATTTTTTCGCAAAATAAACTTGAGCCAATGTAGTTAACTAACCTATCAATAACATGAATGTATTACATTAGAGTTGTGAGACGTATTGGCACTCTGTCTTTGGTAATAGTTTCGTTTTAGAAGTCTTAAAAATTGATCTATCTTATATTAGATCACTGTGTTCTAGATGGAAACATATGACTTAATTTCAATCACTACAGCACGAGTAAAGAATAAAATCTTTGACGAATACTCGAAACAAAATTCAAACAAAAGCAATCTTGAATTTATATAAGTTACATTAATTCTATACATAATTACATCACATAAAAAGCTGATATAGTTTCAATAGCAGGATAAAATTTGTCACCATAAGGTTCGAGATCTCCCATTTCAGCTAATGAGTAATCTCTTATTAAAGCTAGCCGTACAACTCTCCAAGTATGTCTTTTTTTCTAGTGATGATTTAGAATCGTTATGTAAATTACCTGTTTTTGATTGTTGTTTCGGATTGAATTCTACTTCACTACTATGAACACGCCAAATGACGTGAACTATGATGTTTTATATGATTAGTTCCCTATTATCACATTGTGTTCCACGACTTGGATATCTTACTTAACAACTTAGACATCTTTTTTTTATTTGATTTATATATGATTCTGTCGCTGCAGTATCAAATATATTTTTGCATTTAATCATTTCTTGGCACATACTTGTTCGATCAAATAATAATAATTGTGTAAAACTTTCTTTAAATCGATGACTTTGTTCAAATAAATCTTTACTTGATAAAAATTGATTCATTTAATTCGCCTAATGCTTGTTTTAATTCGTCATGTTTACGATCAGCTATTTGTTTAGCTCGTGTAATTAAACATCGTAGTGTAATAAGTATAAGATCGCTTGCAATTCGTGGAAAAATTTAAATATATCCAATACTATTGTATTGGTGATGTTTGCAGTTTAATTAAATCATCAACATATTGCATCAAATTTGTTATTAATTCTGCATCATTATAAGATAATTTTATTGTTGATAACATTGTGAGTGTACATATGGATTCGAATCATCTAGTCAAGTTAACTGGTTCTTACACCCACACCCTCAAGTCACTGCACTTGTAAAAGTAAAGCTACATGTTTCTAGTGCATAATTTGAATTGAGTATTAAAAAACTACGCAACTGTTACAAAAAGTGTTTATTTTTTTTCTCACTTGATTTCACAACGAAATGGAAAAGTGTAATCCTCTCTAAGAAAACCGTCTATTTTTTGAAATTTTGTAACGATTAGTATTTTGTGAATAACTCAGTTCTGGTTCAACAGAAACCAATGAAATTTTTATTGGTAACATGTCTCGATGATCTCAATGCATAGCAGAAATTTCATTGCATTTGCTCTTGTCAAATAGGCGATGTGGGATGGTAAAGATTTAAAAAAATGAAATTTCGTAACGTTGATGGCGCCCGAGAACGATATTTTTCATCAATCGTAATAGATTCAACGTCAGCGATTATGGATTCTATAGTATTCTTATACTATTTGCTACGAGAGTAAAACATAGTTTGTTACAATCTGTAGTATTGATTTTATATAGAATAGAATTTAAAGTTAGTGCGATTTGCACGCTGTGTTGTACAGAGTCGAACGAAAATACTTTTAAAGAAAACTTTGTAAAGGTGCAATTGATTGATACCATGTGCATCTAAAGTTAAAGTGTAATGCATCATAATTCTTCTTTTTTTCTTCCTTCCATTTTTTTTTTGAAGAAACAAATTGCATTTTTGATTTCAGTTCAAAGCAAGTTGTTTAGAATTTCTTTTATCATTTCACCCCAGTCGAGTTTTATATAAACTTATTTTCCATCAGTTAATCTCTTTCATTCTAGACTTCTTATCTTTGAACATTTTCAGTCATGTCCTACTCTATCACAAAGACAAACATATACTCGAATGATATCAAACTCCCTGTCGTGTTATGGTCAAGAATTATTTTGCAGACGAAGCCATCATTGAAAGAACTTCATCAAATTTCAAGTATCTCCCATTTTTTTCGTGCATTGGTCTTCGATCCATGGTTCATGAAGGAATATAATAGTATCTGTCCAATTTTTCGGCAAGATCTTGTCATTGATATCAATTTTGCATGCACATCAACACATGCTGAACCATTCTAAAACACAATACCAATTACTGAAGGTGGCTTCTATGTCAAAAAATATAACTTGAATAGTAGTAAACTGTCTTCTATAAGAATTGAAACAAATCATCCATTATTTGGTCAAATTTTAACATTCAATCAAGAAATAACAAATATTTGCAATCTGTTTAAACTTCATCAAAGCCAGCCAATGCCTACTTTTACTCTCTCATTTTGACTTCTTTTGGATTCTTCAAATAGAGTAAATAGTTCTATACGCTATATTAACTTTCGTTTCAGTTGTTTCAATCGATTAGAGAGATGCATTGGTGTTGATATCGATGAAAAGAGAAAATTAAAAGTCGAATATTCCTGGGAAAATCAAGAGGCATTGTATGCTGAAACTTCGGAACCATTAGAAAACAACAAATGGTATCAAGTCGTCATCGTCCATTGTTTGTTGACGTCAATCATTAAAGTTTATTTGAATGGTCAAATTTTAATACAGAAATTTCTTCGCAAAGATTTACACGCACCATGTCCTTCGGTTAACATTCATAGTGTTTTCTTTGATGGCAGTTTAGCAGATATTGCATTCTGGACGAGAGCATTGTCACCTTTAGAAGTGAAGTTAATATATGAACAGAAAACTTCGGTTGATAAAGTCAATATGGTTCAAGGAATGTTAGAATGGATCAAAGAGATTGAGTAGATGAGCAAGAAGCTTTTGAAATTCTACCAAACTTCTTTTATAGAAATCTTTGAATTCGAATAGGTGAACTATACTTCAATTTTCAAAATAATCTAAAAAACGATCTTCTACTACGAATGACCTCTTCAATGGGATTTTCTTCTTTTTTTCTGTGATACGATTATTACGATTGTGTTGTGTATCATCTCGCATAGTCTTGAACCAATTGAATTGATTACTTAACGTTTATATTTATTGAATTTCAATATAGCTTTCATTCACAACCGATCTCAAGTCTTCTTTCGACCGTCTTAATGAAGTTTCAAATATCTTTTCCTTCAAGTTCACTTCTGATCATATTCTCTCATCTTATACTAAATGCCATCAAGTTGTCTTATAACCGTTTTGATTAACAAAATAAATACATCAACAATCAGATTGAGTATCGATCGAAGACTTTTTTAAAAAGTGTTCTGAGAATATTCATGAAAGAGACACTGTGGCAGAGCGATTAATTCAGTAAACATATTATTTCAGATAAGTGAAGATTGTTGGCAGCTGTTCAAGTGTGATTCGATATATTGATTCACTTTGATTCTTTCAATAAGTGTTCTCTTCGAATGCAGAATATTGCTACTAAATTGCCTAAAATTTGGTGAATCGATCATCATAGAACATATGATTAAACTCGGAAAGAGTATTAGAATGTGAAATAGACCCCTTAGAGTAATACATGAAGAGAGTTGAACGATGTAATAGATTCTTTCTCGATATCCTCTGATTTCGTCAAACTGTGTATCATTGGAATAGGCATGAGAATTTA